AAATAGAAAAAGAAAGAAAGAGAGAGAGAGAGAAATGCCACAAGAAGGAAAGTAATGTTCGACATGAGATCGAAAATGCCTTTATACTAACTTAGTATACAAGATAGTAAGAGTTTAGAACGCACCTTACGGAATAACGAAAGTTGACTACTTTAGAAAAGTGTTATAATTATCACGTTACAAAGAAATCTAGTATTCTTTCAATATTACGAACGTATATATGTACGATGATGACGAAGAGAAAGAGTACGAAGTACGGGGTCACGTGTATTCGTTATCAGCAGTTTTAAAATCACGATTTTTTGTAAAAATTGTTAAGTAATTCAAACGTCTTTGATTATTTATATATATATTGTACGAATAGTATACCATTTATATGAATTAACGTCCAATGGAATGGAGAGTCTGATAACTACCTTTCGAAAGTTACTCGTTATCGACTTCCTCGTCATCGTCATCATCCTCATCCCGATGCTAATGTAAAAAGTCATTTATGTAGCGTGTGTATATGTGTATAGATGAAGAATATATAAATAGAGAAATAAGAAAGTTTATTGAAGTCGGTTATATTGCCGTGAGTACTTGGAATATATGCTTTTAAGGATATTCAAACGCAAATATGACAACGATGAGTACGACACGACAAAGAAAAAGAGTAAGACAAAGGCAATGACGAGGAAGACGATGACGATCAAAACTACACTGCTACGCGACATTTGTAGATGGCGATACGCCAGAAAGAAAGGGGACAAACAGGCGAAGAGAAGAGAGGAACTATTCAAAGGGATAGAAGATGTAGAGTTTAGTGTACAGATAAACGTATTTATATTAAACTACATTTATGTAGTTAAAATCAGAATAAAGCTTGCGCTATCATAGTGATAATAGTAACAGTTATCGTAAGCGTAGCCGTTGTTGGTAGCTGTAGATTCGTGGAGTCAGAGAACAACGCAACGCACGCAAAGGCTATCGCCGAGGAACAGTGACGACGAGAAAAGAAGGAAAGAGAGGGAAAGGGGAAGGAGTAAGAGGAAGGGAAAGAGAAAGAGCGAAGACATGGCTACCATCCTTGAATACGCACTTAGCTCACAAATTGCGTCGTACATCCTTTGTTTCATACTATGGAGATTACATTCTCAGTTTCTCTTTCAAACTTATTATATTTTTTAAGATATTTATTATTATTTGTTGCAATTAAATGTAATATATCGATGTAGCAGCGAGCTATCGATAGAAAATTATTACGTAGTAGAAGAGATTAGTGTGTAGTGGCTATTTGATAAAAATAGTTCTTCTTCGGGAGAGTAACAGGCGGTTTGGGATTGCGACACTTACCGAAGGCTGTTGCGGTGTAGTGGAGCGCAATATGTCAGCTGACTTGACGTGTGACCGATTGTAATCCTGCATCAGTATCCGACATAATTCTCAGAGAAACATCAACCTTTTATTGTCAATGGGACACCTGCTTATCAAATACTCAAACGATATGCACTGTTTCACAAAGACACCGGGAGCAAAGAAGCCTTTGAAACAAACTTGAATATTTCCACGAACGTACCCACTGATCGTAGAACAAATCCCACCAGAGCTGCGGACACAGAAAGAAGTACTGCCAATGACTGGTGCAAAGTTAGATCTCTTACTTTCCCCCACTCTTCTTAAACAAAGCTCTCCAAGCGGTTAGAACGGGAAGTTATACGAACACGGCCGAACAATCACGATCTCGAACGATCCTTCTGTTTCAACTTCTATAGAAATCGATCATTATATCTTTTTATTATTTAGAATTTCGTACAAATAATTGTAATTGGAGTACCAATACATCGTAAACAACGCATTGTTATAAGTCATGAAGTTAAAAATAAATATTTAAAAATAAAAAACAATTTATTATATATATTTAACGATTGAACGTTTGTACGTGATTGGTTGATAATATTCTACCTTAAAATTGAACAGCTAATCGTATTTCTAGTATTCTATTGTTAATGTCAATTTGAGAACACTCCATGAGTTAAGAACTAAATAAAAGGTTCTATATGAAGCTACATTATCCGCGTTTTACTTGGTCGATTTAATAAGTTTAATTTTATTGGTTTGTTTATTATTTTTTTTGTCTATACTAGAAAATATAAACATAATTTGGACGATTATTTCGTACAAAAGTGTATTTATGTTATATTTACAGTTTCAATGAGCCATTGTTGTTAACTATATGTTTATATGCATATAAGAATATTGTTTATTTTGTAATATATTAAATTGAAAAACAATGGGTGATTCGGAAGAAGAAAATGATAAAGACTTTGTATTAGGAAATATGACAGGATTTTTATTTGGCAATATCGATGATAATGGTCAATTGGAAGATGATATTCTAGATGCTGAAGCAAAACAACATTTAGCCTCTCTCGGTCGTCTCGGTTTGAGCTCATTTATTAAAGAAATGATGCCAAGTGAAAATGGTAATGGTGAAAACAGTATGGAAATAGATGATAATTGTAAAGAGGAAAACAAATCTGCATTAGAGAAAGATACAGATTGTCTTGAAAAGTCACCGTCTGCTCTTGATTTTTCTGATATAAATGAATTGGCTGATGATATAAATGAAGATAACGAATCAAACATATTAGATCCAAAGATTGAAAAAGAAAATGCAGATTATGATGCAGATGATGAAGAGGTCATAAGTAAATCCGATACCCAATTAATGCCACCACCACCTATACCGGAAGAAAAAGAAATACTCACAGCAGAAGAAGTAGAAGCAGCACGACAACGTAAACTTGAAACTCCTCTAGCCTCTATGTTACCTTCTAAATATGCTAACATCAATGTAACTGAATTATTTCCTGATTTTCGTGCAAATAAGGTTCTTAGATTTTCAAGGCTATTTGGTCCTGGAAAACCAAGTAGCCTTCCACAGATTTGGAGAGGTGTTAGAAAAAGACGTAAAAAGAGACGGTATCATGATATTAGAGATTCCGATTCTGGATCAGATCAAGATGATAGAAAAGTTAAATTTAAGGGTTTGGTAATGCAATATGGACCAGATCCAACTCTAGATTTATGTCGTTCTGATGATGAAACTAAATTATTATTACCAGTAGAAGATAAAGAACAAGTTGGAAAAACTGGAGAAGCTGGTGAAAATGGTGATATGGGACCAAAAGTAGCAGATTGGCGATTTGGTCCTGCACAACTATGGTATGATATGTTACAAGTTCCTGAAACTGGAGATGGCTTTAATTATGGCTTTAAGATAATAGATAAATCAGAACAACAAGATAATAAAACAAATAATGAACAATTTTCTGATGATGCTTTTTTAATGGTATCGCAATTACATTGGGAAGACGATGTTGTTTGGAATGGTGATGACATAAAGCACAAAGTAACACAGAAACTAAATAGCAAAAATAATGCAGCTGGATGGGTTCCATCTAGTGTAAATAGAACAGCTCAAGCATTTAGTCAACCAGGAAAAGGTGGAACGGTACCAGTGGCACCAAATGTACGCTTAGCAACTTCACAGATTACTACACCATTACATATGCAGTCTCAAAAAGCTAAAGTAAGCATGAATAAAGGAAATCAACAACAACAGCAAAGAGAAGAAAATTATGATGACACTTGGTATTCCATTTTCCCAGTTGAAAATGAAGAATTAGTATATGGACTTTGGGAAGAAGAAGTCATTTGGGATCCAGAAAATATGAAAAAAATTCCTAAACCTAAGATACTTACATTAGATCCTAATGATGAAAATATAGTTCTTGGAATACCCGATGATATTGATCCTGCACTTCTTCATAAAGATAACGGACCCCAACCAAAAGTAAAGATACCACATCCACATGTTAAAAAAAGTAAATTATTGTTAGGCAAAGCTGGAGTAATAAATGTTCTTGAAGAAGATACACCACCACCACCACCAAAATCACCTGACAGAGATCCATTTAATATATCAAATGATACTTATTATATGCCTCGGTCATCAGAAACAACATTACGTTTAAAAGTTGGAGGAGGTAACTTAATACAACATAGTACACCAGTAGTAGAATTACGTGCACCTTTTGTTCAAACCCATATGGGGCCAATGCGTCTTCGAAATTTCCATAGGCCACTATTGCGAAGATACAGTCATGGTCCACTTGCACTACCTGGTCCACATAGTGTTCTACCTTTGATCAAGCATATTAAAAAGAAGGCAAAACAAAGAGAACAAGAAAGAATTGCATCTGGTGGTGGTGATGTTTTCTTTATGAGAGACGCTGAAGATTTAACAGGAAAAGATGGTGAAATAGTTCTCATTGAATTTTCTGAAGAACATCCACCGTTAATAAATCAAGTTGGAATGTGTTCAAAAGTAAAAAATTATTATAAAAGAAAAGCAGGAAAAGATCAAGGTCCACAAAAATATAAATATGGAGAAACGGCTTATGCCCATACCAGTCCATTTCTTGGAATTCTTACACCTGGTCAAAGCATACAAGCTGTTGAAAATAATATGTACAGGGCTCCAATTTATGAACATAAAATTCCTGAGACTGACTTTCTAATTATTAGGACCAGGCAGCAATATTTTATAAGAGAGATGGATGCACTATTTGTTGCAGGCCAAGAATGTCCTCTATATGAGGTACCTGGACCAAATTCCAAAAGAGCAAATAATTTTGTAAGAGATTTCTTACAGGTTTTTATTTATAGATTATTTTGGAAATCAAAAGATACGCCTAGACGAATTAAAATGGATGACATTAAAAAAGCTTTTCCTTCTCATAGTGAGAGTAGTATTAGAAAGCGATTAAAATTGTGCGCTGATTTTAAAAGAACAGGTACATATATATATATATATATATATATTTATGAATAAGAATAACTTGTATATAAAATATAAACAATCTATGTTTTAATTTTTGTATAGGAATGGATTCCAATTGGTGGGTAATAAAGCCAGACTTCAGATTACCAACGGAAGAAGAAATCAGAGCTATGGTATCTCCAGAACAATGCTGTGCCTACTTTAGTATGATCGCAGCAGAACAAAGATTAAAAGATGCTGGATATGGTGAAAAATTTCTGTTTACACCTCAAGATGATGATGATGAAGAAATGCAATTGAAGATGGACGATGAAGTCAAAGTGGCTCCATGGAATACAACTCGTGCATATATTCAAGCTATGAAAGGAAAATGTTTATTGCAACTAGCTGGTCCAGCTGATCCAACAGGATGTGGTGAAGGCTTCTCATATGTTAGAGTACCCAATAAGCCAACTATCAGTAAAGTTAGTATAATGTTTTATATTATTAAATTGTATTTTTCTTCTTTTCTTCTCATCTATTTATTAAATTAATCTTAATAAAACAGGAAGAACAAGAAGCGCAGCCGAAAAGAACAGTAACAGGAACGGATGCAGATTTAAGAAGACTTTCATTAAATAATGCAAAGGCACTTCTTAGAAAGTTTGGTGTTCCAGAAGAAGAAATAAAAAAGCTTTCACGTTGGGAAGTTATAGATGTGGTAAGAACATTATCTACAGAAAAAGCAAAAGCTGGAGAAGAAGGTATGACAAAGTTTTCACGAGGTAATAGATTTTCTATAGCGGAGCATCAGGAAAGATATAAAGAAGAATGTCAAAGAATCTTTGATTTACAAAATCGTGTTTTGTCATCTAATGAGGTTCTAAGTACAGATGAAGGTGAAAGTTCAGAAGAAGATAGTTCTGATATAGAAGAAATGGGTAAAAATATAGAGAATATGTTATCTAATAAAAAAACGAGTACTCAATTATCTTTGGAACGAGAAGAGCAACAGAGGCATGCATTGCGAAAAATGATGATAGATGAAGTCCAGGAACAAGACAAAAAACCTAAAGAAAAAAAGAGAGACGAAGAGGAAGATAATAATCCGGTTAACAATTTTGGCACGCAGCAAGGAAGATTACTTAAGATTTATCGCACTTTTAGAAATCAAGAAGGAAAAGAATTCACTAGAGTTGAATTAGTTAGAAAGCCAGCTGTAATAGACACTTATTTAAAGATAAGAAATTCTAAAGATGAAACATTTATTAAACAGTTTGCTACATTAGATGAAGCACAAAAAGAAGAAATGAAAAGAGAAAAGAGAAGAATCCAAGAACAATTGAGAAGAATAAAACGAAATCAAGAACGAGAACGTATGCAAGGGGGTGGTTTCATTGGCCCAAGCAGCTCCATTAATCCTATATTTGATCGCAGCGGCACTAATACTCCTACCACTACATCCTCTACTAGTATCCTTCCATTCTGTAATTATCAATCCACTTCCCCAGCTTCTAAACATCCTAAACCTGAAATTTCTCCCTCTAAACGTAAAAAACCTAAACTCAAACCAGATTTAAAATTAAAATGCGGTGCTTGCGGTAACGTAGGTCATATGCGAACTAATAAGGCTTGTCCATTATACCAAAATAACGTAACAACTGCTCCAGTTAATGTTGCTATGACTGAAGAACAAGAAGAAGAAATAGAAAAGCAACTTAATACTGATGATCAGGACCTCGTTAATGTCGATGGAACAAAAGTTAAATTATCATCTAAATTGATTAAGGTTGTACAATATTATATATTAGAAATATTTTTATATTATGTAATATATCCTTAATTTAAATTAATTTATTTATTAAATATATTTAATATATTACTACTTTTTAATTTGTTAATTTTTAAACAGCATGCAGAAGAAATGAAAAGGCGTACTTTACTATTAAAAGTTCCAAAAGAAGCAGTCAATTCGAAGAAAAGAAGAAGAGCTACTGGAGATGACCATTGTGATTATCTTAAGAGACAACAAAGACCAGCCAATCGTCGTAGAACTGATCCTGTTGTTGTTATGTCAACTATGCTAGAAAATATCCTAAATGAACTGAGAGATTTACCAGATGTTCAACCTTTCCTTTTCCCAGTTAATCCAAAGGTATATTTTTATTTCGAATAAATAATTACCAAAAACAAAAGTGAAACTTTTATATGTGATATATTAATCTGTGTATTTTATTATATTTGTTTAGGCTGTTCCTGATTATCATAAAATTATACAAAAACCTATGGATTTACAAACAATACGTGAAAATTTAAGATTAAAAAAATACCAAAGTAGAGAAGAATTTTTGGCTGATGTTAATCAAATAGTTGAAAACTCTACACTTTATAATGGACCTAAATCCTCATTAACAGTAGCAGCCAAACGTATGTTAGATACATGCGTAGAAAAACTTGGTGAAAAAGAAGATCGTTTAATGAGATTGGAAAAAGCAATTAATCCTCTACTTGATGATAATGATCAAGTAGCTCTTACATTTATTCTGGACAACGTTGTCAATAATAAATTAAAATCTATGACAGAAGCCTGGCCATTCATAAAACCTGTTAGTAAGAAAACAGTGAAGGATTATTATAATGTAATTAAACGTCCAATGGATTTAGATACTATTTCAAAGAAAGTTTCAGGTAATTATGTTATTTTTGATCTAATATACATGTATCTGTTATATTTTGACTAATTTTGTTTATATATATTTCTTTTAAAGCTCATAAATATCATAGTCGCCAGGAATTCGTTCGAGATGTTGAACAAATTTTGGAAAATTGTATAATTTACAATGGAAAAGATTCTCTATTTACAAAAAAAGCTGAATTAATTGTTAAAACTTGTAAAGAGACCTTAGACGAAGTAAGATTATGAAAAACATATTTTTTATTTATTTTTTCAGCTTACATCCTATATTTATTATTCTTATAATGCCATTAATTAAATAAAAACTTATATTTCAGTATGATGAGCATGTAACTCAACTAGAAAATAATATATTATTAGTACAAAAACGAGCAATGGAGCAAGCAGATATAGATTCTTCGTGGCTTGGTCCAGACGAAGAAAATTATACTATCGTAGAGCCTGAATTCAGAGGGGTAAGAATTTATTATTTATAAGTTTAATCTATTATAATATTAATAGTAAAATTGATAAATATCTAATATAATTAATATTTATAATCTATTATAACCGTTTATTTTTTAATTCTTTTTCAGAGTCAAACTAGTTCACCAGAAAATCCATTTGGAAAATCAAGCATGGATGATTTCGATTTTGTTGATGTGGAAGGTGATATGGAAATTGATCCTGGAAGAAATGTACATTCTAAGAAAAAAGATGTACTTGAAGAAGGTAAAATATAAGCGTATTAAAAACATATTTTTCTTAAATTTGAATAATATACAACTATATTGTAAAAACTTTCATTTGTGATTTTAGATCTGCAATTCTCCAGCGAAGATGAATTTGATGAAGTTCCATTTGGAGCAGATGAACAATCTGAACATAACGAAATGGAAACGCTTGAATTAAGTGAAGTTAGAATAGAAAGAGGAGGAGTAGTTTTGGCTGACGATGACAGTCAGCAAGCAGCGGAAGCAATGGTACAATTAGGTAATGTTGGATTTTATATGGGAGAACAACAATTACTCCAACAAGGTAACCGATATTTAAAAAATAAGAAAAAAGTATATAAATATATATAAATTAAACGAATAAGTAAATTTTTAAGAATAACTTGTATGATTGTTATGTGATTGTAATATTGTTATGGTTATTGATTGTGATATTCCTTAGAAAAATTTATATTATCTATAATATTGCTTTTAGATGAGAGTATGGATGTCGATCCAAATTATGATCCATCAGATTTTCTATTGGCTGGACTACCTGCACGAGACGATAAAACTAATACCGAGAATAATATTACACAATGTAAAGAAGATAATCAACAGCAACCTTTACAGCAAGAAGAAGATGTTGGTGGTGACCTTTGGTTTTAAATATATTAAAAATAAACCGAAGAAAAAATAATATTTTATATTGTAAAAATGTAACTATCTTGTATAAGTTAGGACTTATATATAGAAATCTGTGATATATTCTATTAGTAATATACATAGATGTATAAAATAATAGTATCCATAGATACCACTAAACATTCTGCTCTTTTGTAAATATTAAATTTCTATACACATGTAATACTAAAAAACTATAGTCATAAAACAATATAGAAATATATATAATCTATTATTTGAAATACTGTTTGAAATACTGTTGTATCTCCTTTTTGAAAAATTAATTCTATACAATGGTATTCATTTTCAATTGTGTTCTTTATATTAGACGCACGTATAAATATAATATTATATTAATATTAATATCATAAAGGAGTCTTGTGTTTTACTGATTACTAAAGTTGAACGAACGAAAAGCTATACTGTATATGTAAATTAAATATTATCTTTTAAATTCTTTACGCCTGCAGATGTATCAAGGTAAAGCTCTTAACAAAATAATAAAAATAATTACCGATCGGAATCAATTAAAAGATTATGAACCAAATATAGTAATGACCTATATGATTAAAATACTTTTTTATCATGGAGAAATATCTAAAGAAAATGTGTGTGAATGGAAACGTCGACGAAAAATGCGATTTGCACAAAATTGTTATCGTTCTTTGTTGAAATTATATGTTCCTGCAAAAACGGAACAAGTTGTACATGCTGTTATTAATACAATTAATGAAGATAAACTGTGGAAATTTGAAACTTTTTGTCTGGAGATAACAAATATCTTATTGGAATATAGTGTTAATGGTTCAGTAGTCGTTCATACAATCTGTGACTTAATAGAATCAAATAGAATAAATACGAATGTGTATGACAACAGAGCTATTGTCAAAATTCTATATGAAATATTAGATACTTATAAATGGCCAGAAATTAATGACACAGTAACTGCGATAGAAAGACTTTTAAACTTATTTTATAAAACTTTAAAAAATACAAATGCATATGATACATTAATTCCTTGTAAAAAACTTAAAAAAGGTTTAGAAATATGTCTTAGAAACATGATTAAACATTTATCCAATGATCAACTTCTCATTGTTATACATCGTATGTGCTCATGGACTATGCAAAAAGATATAAATGATAATATTATATTGGAATTTGGTGGTATTTTAGAATATACAGCTTATACGCATCAAGCGACTCTGTATGAAAAAACTTTAACACCAACAATATTTTCACTATTGATGCAAATGATAGCATCGAATAGTAAAATAATCAGCTTATTAGGTAATAGAGTTATGCAATACTTGATTGATCGGAATGGAAATAGATTACATTTTGACACTCCTAAAATTTTCTTTGAAAATATAGACTTCGGTTTAAAATTTAGCAATTGTTATAACGAAGATAAAATATTCTTTAAAGTTCATCGTGAAATTCTACATGATAGTTTACTTAAAAGTATATTGAATCATCGTACATCCCGCATGAATTTAGAAACTAGTTATTGCACAATATGTATCATAGCAATTGAAGTACCTTGCGGTTTCATGGCTGCAGCATTAGTTTGTTTAACTATGAACTTACAAGATTTGATTTTACAAGAAAATAATCTTCATAACATAGCAGATCATCATATACATGCTGTTGTTATATCAATTATGTCTCTTTTATGTTGGATTCATAATGCTAAAGTATTTTATAAATACGTCAACAAAATTATGATGGAAAGAGCACAATGGGCTCCACATTTAAATCCACCAATTCAAACCCAATATAATTTTGTAGTACATCATATTTTCTCTTACAAATCAGAATTATTTTTTATCGATTGGGAAACGCGATATGGTTTGTGGAAATGTTTTCGTTTACAAAATTATCAGAATAGTAACCTCAAAAACAGAAATTAATAAAATATTAATGTGTATTATTTTTTACAATAAATATAATTATGCAGCGCGTTAATTTATTACATAAAACAATTAAAAAGAAATACAATATTTGCCATGGTACATGTTTTATATATATATATATTTTTTTTTCTTTTATAAACAATTAAGTTTATGATATCCAGAAATATAAAAATGCATAAATTTAATGATAACGAAAATTCAATAATAATACTATTAAAAAATACTTTTAATTATATCTATTCATGCGTACAAATTGTAAACTACAGTAAGTGTCACTTAAAATCGTACACCATTATGCTTATTAGATTTTTGAACATTGTAAATGCAGTCATCACTGGCCAGGAATGTTAAAACAAATGTATTTTAGTTTAAATAATTCAACACACTTTAAATAATTGTTAATTAATCAAAGGAAATGTATATTGTTATTTAAAAGCATGGATGTACCATTCAATACACCATTCTCTTCGAAATCAACTGTTAGACTGAAATTTTGTACTTTATAAAAGTTCTTTTATATATTGATTGTTATTTATATGACTTTCAGAACAGTAAATTTTATTTATAAGGAATATTATTTACATTATACGTATATAGCCTTCGGGAGAAGTCATATAAACAACAAATCTATAAAAGAACATATAGAGGACAACGAGCTAGTCTATCGGAGGATTTCGGAGAGGACGGTTCATCGAACGATACATTCAGGTTTCTAAACAACAATATACATTTCTTTCGATTAATTAACAATCATTTAAGGTGTGTCGAATTATTTAAACTAAAATATATTTGTTTTAATATTCCTAACCAGTGATGATTGCATTCACAATGTTCAAAAATCTAACAAGCGTAATGGTGTACGATTTTAAGTATTACTCGCTGTATTATTTAACTTAATAAATAAAATGGCTTCTACTATTCTAAATAATAATATGTCTCTTATCTGCATTGAGATATAATTACCCTGTTCTGAGAAATTTTAATCATGATAAGATTCGTTATATAATAATAAATTTTGTTTACATTTATTACAGTTTCTTTTTATCTATTCACATCTTGGAACATATTTCTTGTTAATTTTTTTAATTCATTAATATAGAGAAATAATTTAAACGATGTATGAATCAACTATTGATGACATTTTACAAACGCATCTACCAGATGAGGTTTTACCAGAAGTTAATCGTCTTTTGTATGGTCGTCAAATAAAGTAAGATTTAATTAAAATTTGTACTTTGTTATTTAAGTAATGCATCTGCATTTCAAGAATAATAGGTTATATTTTATTTATATAAAGTATTTATTCGTTCAATTAATATAAGTAAAATAAAAATATTATAATTTGTTAATAGAAAGTTAGATTTACCAGAATGGAAAGAAAGCAACGATTTAGAAAGAAAAGGTTGGATTCTAGATAGTATCGTTGAAGAACAATTACGTCCTAAACGCATTGTCCGTGTAGGATTAATTCAACATTCAATCGTTCTACCAACAACAGATCCAGTAGAAAATCAAAGAAATGCGATACATAATAAAATAAAAGAATATATTGATTATGCGGCTACTTGCAAAGTTAATATTATTTGTTTACAAGAAGCTTGGAGTATGTTCATATATTTTATATATCTATATATAAGACTTTTTATAAAGCAATATTTTAACACAGATTTCATTATTTGTGCTGAAATAATTTCTATAAAATAGTTATTATATTATAGCTATGCCATTCGCTTTTTGTACAAGAGAAAAATATCCATGGTGTGAGTTTGCCGAAGATGCTAAAAATGGTCCATCAAGTTTATTATTATCAAAATTAGCAAAAGAACATAATATGATTATTATTTCTCCAATTTTGGAAAGAGATAGTATTAATGGAGATACTTTATGGAATACATCTGTTATTATTAATGTAGATGGTAAAATTATTGGTAAACATAGAAAAAATCATATACCTCGTGTTGGAGATTTCAATGAATCTACTTATTATATGGAGGGAAATACAGGACATCCTGTTTTTGATACTTGTTACGGGCGTATTGCTGTTAATATTTGTTATGGGCGTCATCATCCTTTAAACTGGCTTATGTTTGGATTAAAGGGAGCAGAAGTAAAAATATTATTATTTTCTTCTTTCTGTAACTTAAATCAAACATATATTTATAATAACATATCTTTAGATTGTCTTCAATCCATCGGCCACTGTTGGTAATTTATCTGAACCCTTATGGCCTATAGAAGCAAGATGTGCTGCAATTGCTAACAACTATTTTACATGTGCCATCAATAGGGTTGGGACTGAAGTATTTCCTAATAAATTTACATCGGGTGATGGAAAACCATCTCATTATGACTTTGGACACTTTTATGGCTCCTCCTATATTACTGCGCCTGACGGAACACGTACCCCAGGTTTAAGTAGATCTAATGATGGATTACTTATTGCAGATTTGGATCTCAATCTCTGCAGACAAGCAAAAGATTTGTGGGGATTTAGAGTAAGTACTTGTTTCTTATAGAAATAAATACCCATTTTCAAATAAGAACTAATTTATAAATATCGAATGCATGCAATGTACAATGTGTATTCATTATTTACAAAAATATATTAATATTTTATATATGTTTTAGATGACCCAACGACTAGACATGTATGCTAATGAACTTGTTAAAATTGTTCAACAAAATTAAATATTGTTATCGTATAAATTTAATTTTTCACTTTATTAATCTTATATATATATATATATATATATTTTAAATAAAATATAAAAACCAGTAAATTATAGTAAGTTAAAAAGCTTAAATATATAAAGCATTTAAATATACATACATTATTATTACTATATTCTTATATATAATTATTAAATTGTTTTTAAGAATAAGTCGTAATCAATGTTTCAAGAATTTATAAAAAAACTGGAATACTTCCAAAATACTAGAAGATACATGAATTACACGTTTGATGGCGGATTTAATGCAGTATCATGTGTCTGTTTCCGGTAATGTAAAGCTTCTTGATAGGCCTTTTTTACTGCTTTTCTATCAGCAGGTTTACGCGATTCAATTAATTTAGCTGCATCAACTTGTTTAGATGCACCTAATTTTTCTAATTTTTCACCAGGTAACCATTGCCTGCATAAAAGGAATAATAATATATAAATAATTATATTTATAAAATAAATATATCATATTAATAAGTTCTTTTTTACCAAGTGCGTTTTGTGTCAAAAAAAAGAACAAGAAAGACTGGATCTTTGTAATTATTTCCTAGTGCCAATACATCGTCAGGAGGAGCTGGAATAGGCACACCTTTATGTACGGTACCACGAGGCGTACTAGGATCTATAATTAGAGCTGGATACCAAGGATATCCACGACATTTAGCCCATACAAGCTGTAAAGCTTCTAAAATATTCTCATTATTTTCTCCTTTGTCATTAGTTTCGCTAGTATTTAAAATCTGTTTTTCTTCTTCTTGATCTGGTGTAGCAGATCTACTTGTTGAACAACTACTACAACTTGATGATTGGCTTTCTCCTTCACCAGCATCACTATCCATTGTTCCACTTCTGTAAATTTAATTAACTTTTCATATAGAGAATTGTTATAATTAAATATACAAATCACCCTACTTTTATATTCCCCAAATCTTTCCCACATACACTATAATAATTTATGAAAATATTACTTACCTATACACTTTAAAACTATCGCTTTGTTTCTTTTGATTATTTTCTGGAAGAAACATTTGCCCGCTTCTACTAGCACGAGCTTTAGCCTTACGGGTAAACAGCACAGCTGTTCTCCGATTGACACCACCAGCACCTACTTCCTTTTCTCCTGTATTTAATTCTATTTCATTACGATTACGACTAGATCTATCTCTTTTTCTAGATTTAGTAACATTTTGCTCTGTTTGATAAAGAGTATTAAGTTCTGGATAATCTTTGCAAGCTTGTTCTATAAGTAAACCACCCTGTTCTTTCATTTTCAATCCTGCTCTATAAAACATAGTATCTTTACGATTATAAGCCAAACAATTATTAACCATTAAGTTAAAATCTGCTTCAAAAGCACCAATAGTGTCATATTCCTGTCTCTCGATTTTATTCTATAATGTATAAAGGTAATTGTTAAAAATACAATTAAAAATAATATTCACATACAATATATATACACAAGGTGCCGCAAAAAATGTTACCGCAAAATGAATATGTATATATATATATATATATATATACCTACCTGCATAGTAGAAAGATCCATTGGATGTGAAACTATGTCAAGGTAATCAGGAACTTCTTTAATATTAACTGGTTGACCAAATACATCATTAACATCTTTTAATTTAATAGCTTCTAATAACATAATCAAAATACTTTCTAAAGGTCGTAATTCAAACCATAAACATTTTTCTTTCCTGTAATATTTTTATATTATTCTAAACAGTATTAAATCAAAAAGTATTGCTTAAAAAGTAATATAAAAAATACCAACACTTTAAATAATTCTTTCTTCAGCTTTTCTCGTTTCCTTACTAATTCACATAGCAATCGAGCACGTTCTAAATCCTGTCGTAAACATTGCCAGTATTTAAGTTGACGGTAAAGTTCTCCGCGTAATTCACTATCTGGAGATGGTGAATAATTACCTCCTAATGGAGGAGGTCTTGATTGTGGATGCGAACTTTGCAATCTTCTTAGAAGAGGAACACCATTCCTGTATTGACGTTTCAGTGTCCAGTATGCTATAAGACGTTGAATCAACTGGCTTTTCTTTGGGATACCTTCTGCTAAACTAATTAATGTTTTCTAAATTACTATACATTCACAATTATATTTCAGAAACCATGGTTATCTATGGATGAAAAAATTAAAGAATGAAAGATTGCACCTACGTCTTACCTAGCAATTTCTTTTATACGTTCAGGTGGTATCGTAGGTATTGATATAACTGGCGCAGATGAACTCTTTTTATTAGCTATTGCTCTTCGTCTTGCATCAGCAGGATTTGTAGAAGGTTGATAATCTGCTGGTGTATGTGTTTCACAATAAGCTGTTTTTTGAACAAGCATTGGTTCTCCATTAGCAGGTTGTACTGTTCGCATACGCATACAAAGGCCTGCTTGTTGTGCACAGGTAACATGAAATGCTGCATAACAGTTAGTTTTGTGACATTGAATACATGCACCCGCACCTCTACGTTTACAAACAGAGCAAGCTAGTCTCCAACGAGCTGCAGGAATACTTTCTATACTATCTATTGGTTCCAGAAAAACTGTATTAGCAAATCTTACTTCCGGTATCCACAATGCACATACTACATGAGCCCACGTTGCTGGACGGTCAGTCTGTTTAAAAGCACCACCTCTATTTGGGCATAATATACAATCAACAGCTCTGGATGGACTTTGTAAACATCTTCTACATAACCATTGTCCTTCAGGAATATATGGTACACCATAGCAATCTTGATGGACAGCAAGATTGCACATATCACAAAATAAAATAGCATTACTATTTTGACATTCTCCATCCATACATATACAACATACTGCATCTTCATCAGCAGCAATACCAACTCCACCATTACTTTCTTGTTGAAAATAAGATTCCTTTTCTAATCTATCCATTAATAATTCAAATATGTCTGGTTCTAATGGAGGCAAAAGTCCTGAGGCTATTCGCCTTTCATTCACTATAGATAGCCATGCGGTATCTTCCTCATCCAAATCATATTCTACTTCACCTATAAAAATAATATATTTTTTATTTTATAACCAGGATCTTATAATATCTAGATAATTTCTCAATAAACAACAAAATTGATTATTAAATATGATTATCGATCATAGTTACCATCAAGTTCTTCTCCACTGCGTTCCATAAATCTAACATAAGAATTTGGAAGAGGTTCAGCCTCTCCAAGTTGTTCTTCATATCCTTCTATTATTCTAAATTTTGCTATAGGTAAATTATTAAGAACTTCCTTCTCTTTATCTGAACTAACATTTTCTTTTGAAGATGTTTTCTCATCCTGTGCACTGCTTTTAATACTTATAACAGGAATTGGTTCGTTTATATCTATTTTAACTTGCTTATTACTATCCTCGCCTATGGGATGTACCTGTTAATATTACATTAAAATATATATGTAAACAAAAATCATAGAATTAAGTTTTTAAAAACATTGAAAATTAATATAACCTATACTACGTATATTTTATATTTTACTTGATAAACGAAAAATTATATTTATTTTTTAATTAGTATGTAAGAGTAACGTTAAAAACTAATAATTAATTGTACATACCAAAATAAACCTTGCTGCTTCTTGAACATTTAATACTTCATTATTTGTAATACTTGTAGAATCTATTTGAACGCCAAGTCTACTTCTTTTCTTTTTATTAGGTTGTGGAGCATTCATTATTAGTTATATTTTATTTTAAGAATTCACAAACACAATATATTAGGATTCAAATCCATAACATCTTTACAAGACTTTGTAAAACAATACAATAACATAAACAGTTTCACTAGACCGCCATTGCAGTACCATCAGTCGATAATAAAAAGCCTATCACATGTATCGTAACAGTTTTTTCATATTTTTAAGTTGACTATTAATAATATAGAAAGTATATTTAAAAAGAATATTAAATTAATATAAATTTTTCTTTTTTTTTTTTCTAACAATAATTAAATTGGTATATTTTTGTTCGAATATTTTTGAATATAATCATAATATCAAGTTATAAGCACGTGGTTATAAGAATGAATCTGTAGTGGCTGATCACGACCCGATGCAAATAACAACTTCGACCAAGAGTCGAATTTTGAGTGCTGGTGTTACCGCCATTGCCCAACTTATAGTGATTTCACGCTGATTTCAAGATGGCCACGGGCCTTATTTTGTACTATCCACCGCAATCTCAAATGTAATTTGTCTTTAGTGATCTTTGAAAATTTCAGAATATATTCTTAAATATATTTGTAAAATGATCTCAAAATATCAATAAATTATATAAAGTCTTCACGTGTTAAAAAAATTCGTCATGATTGCTGTAAAAACGTAGTTCCACACCTATCTCCCCCTTAATTATAACTTGTCTCAATCGAATTCTAAGGAATATTGATTGTAATTTATAACAAAAAAAAAAAAAGAAGCAAAGATGGGAATATATATTATGCATTAATAAATCTTTTTTTATTTATAATATAATTTACATGTAAAATAGAAATTTTAATCTTTATTCTACCCAATTTTTTATTAACCCTTTGCGGACTAACATGGTATATATGCGTTCTGCCTAAATCATCAAATGGGCCGAAGAACTCATATATGCGTTCCGCGAAAACAGTGATAGAGCCAAGAAACGCATATATGTGTTCCACGTAAATGTGTGGTTATAACCACGTTTAAGCAGAAATATGCGCTGGCAATTTTAAATGACTATCACGACATGAGCTCGACGGTTCACTTCGAACCGTCCTGTCCGCAAAGGGTTAAACTTAGATATATATATATATATCTACCAATCCCAATGTTATGAATTATTTAACAAGTAAATCACAAATATTATGAATTATTATATACATATTCGTAAATAAAATATAAAGATATTTTATATATATAATATATTCTTAAACCTTTAACTTATATTTAAGAGATATATATATATAATACAAGTTTTGTGTCGATAATTATGACAGTGAATTAAGTTCGAAAATGTATTTTATATTATAATATAAATTATAAATTTTTTCAATTGTATAAAGTCTTAATTATCGTCACATATGTCTTATATTACTTATTATTCATTAAGAAAGTTAGAAAAATATTTACAACTTTTGATTACAACTCATCTATCAGAATCACGATAAGTGCTGTATCCAAATGGACTTAACAATAATGGTATATGATAATGTTCAGTTGGATTTTTTACATCAAAAACAATTTCTATAAATGGATACATAGTCTCTATTTTTCTAACAGTAAAATATTTATCAATATCAAAATGCATTTTATATCTACCAGCAGTAAAATTGACTTTCACGTTATCTAACAGGTCTAAACATCTACCATTGAGACTCGTATTGCTGTAAACATATAATTTTATTTTTAATAAACTTATATTCAATTATGATCTCTATGTTATTTTAATAATACAGAATTTTTGGATAAAAAAGATTTTATATAAATAATACCTCTCATTTAAAAATGTCCACCTGCCATCCAAAAGTTTATAGAGACTAACTTGTAATCCTCCAACAGGAACACCTTTACTGGTATCAATTACATGAGTAGAAACGCGTGGCCTCTTTGTTACAGGTATAACAGGTTTCAAAATAACATGCTATTAAAAAAAATTTGTATAAATTAGTTTAAATATATTAAGATATTAAAAATGAAATAATTGATCTCACATACTTTCGTTGGAAGTGATTGACTGGTGCTAGCTGTAACCAACTGTTCTTGTGATTCTTTATCTATTTGTAATGACTTGTTAACTTGCTTAGTGACATTAATTGGTGTCTTTTCTGCCACAACTAATGATGGTACTTTGCCCTTTAATTTACTGAGTATGTATTGAGTACCGGGTTGAAATGAACCACCTGTTAAAGTTACTTTTTTACCACCACCTGATGTTACAGTAATTGTTTTATTTTGCGTCGGTGCTATTGGAAGGGTATTTACTGGCTGTAATACCCCTATTGTAGTAGGTGTTCCAGCAACTGAAGAATTTATTTGATAAGTTGTCGTACTCAATAATGGCAAGGGACATGTCATGACTAGTCCTGAATCTGTTTGAGACTTTGTATCTTCTTGCTAAAATATAAATGAACAAGAAAGAATTAATAAAATACGATTAATTAAATTTATTATATAGTTATAATAGATACCTGTAGTTTAAGTCCAGTTCTCTTTTCGTGTTTAGTTTTACGTAGAACAGATCTATTATTCTCACGATCCTCTTTCATTTTTTTATTATTATCTACAGTTTTAGTAAAGTTTGAAATTTCTGAAATTTCAATGTTTTGATCTTCAGATTCTACTATCATTTCCATTTGAACATTTTCTTGATCATCAACTTCATCTAAATATTCACCATGTACATGAGCCATTGCTTCTGCTAAAGTATCTCTACTATTTTCCTGAAAATCCTCCTATCAACAATCTCTATATGTAGTCATACTATTTTTTTTTAAAACATATTTTAATGATAAAATTATTCAAATAATTACATTCTAAATTTCTACTCACCACGTATTCTAATTTAATTTTTTTGTTCTGATGTTTAATATCTTCCTCATCAGAGGGTATATGTACATGTTCATCTTCTTCAACTTCTGCATATTCTACTTCTTCCTCTTCTTCTCTTTTTTCTTGTACTTCATGTAATTCTACATCATCATCTACATCATCTAATCTTTCAACAATATATTCATTTTCATCTTCATTTTCTTCAGTTTCTACTTGTGTACTTTCAAGAGCCTAAAAATATAATATAAAATATATAATACATTATCTTTTATATACATATATATGTATGTATGTATGAATATGTAAAAATATCTGACAAATCTATACCTCAACAACATTGTTTTCTTCAACTTTCATTTCAACCATATTAACATGTTTTTTATCTTCTATACTTTTTCCTTTTTCCGCCTCATGCGACAAAGCTGCTCGTTGATGTTTCATAGTACATGTGTGTTTCAAAAGGGACAATCTATGAGCATGAAGATTTTTGTGACAATATAGGCAAAAAGCACGTGTAGGTTGATTTGATACTGATGTCAACCATCCTGTAATAAAAAATAAATTTTAATTAATATATTATTTATATTTATCTATTCTTTGTATTTTTAATCTTTATGAATGATTCAAACAATTACACATCAACATTACAAAGTAATTAACTAATAAGAATATATAAAGAGGAAATATTCTTTTATTTATAATAATAAATAAATTTACTTTATATTTTTGTAGACGATCTTCATTCTTTAGAGAAAGAAAAAAAAAACCAAATAATTATAATAATCATTGTTAAGCACTATTATGATTAAATTCAAAACATAACAGAAATAGCCTTAAAGATATTATTTACTACTGGAGGAATCAACAAACAACTAGAAGAACTGCTTTATCTCTATAATTACACAGGCCTCAGACTATTGGTTAGATTAAATACCTATTCGAAAAAGCAAGGCAAATTTTGCAATTGTAACTCTAAAAATAATCAGAGCTACTTTCGTAAACGGACAAAAATGTTTCTATTCAATTGCACTTATTTCTCAGCAGCGATTATTCTTTCGTAAAATGATCGATATAATCGCAGAAGTAACAAAAACTTTTAAACAAGATAATTAACTCTATTAAAAAAACTTGTTCAAATTTAAATGAATACCTTTAAAATCCGGCATTTGTTCCCATTCTTTGCGATATCGTTGTGTATAAACGCGAGTTTTTGCATGACTAATTTTTCCTGTTGGCGTTAATCGTGGTGCTGCATCAAGCAAATTATCGCGTATTGTAGCCCTAATAGCTAACATCGTTGCAGCCGCTTTATCTCCCATTCTGTAAAAAATGCTCGTCGCTAGATTCAAAATTCTTATGAATGAAGAAATATCCAAAATCGTAACACAAAATCACTAAATAGTTTTTTCGTTAACAATATGGTGATGAGGGGTTAGAAGAGATACGAACAAGACGTTTAGATCGCCTAGCCTAGTCTAACTAAAGAATCCCTAGCAAATGGCCGATTCGGTTTCATCAATGCTTTTCTCACTACTCTTCTCCTTTCCCACTTTTCTCTTTGGCTTCATTTCCCCCACCCAAATTTCAAACCAACGCCATTTCGTGAAACGACATCAACCAATAGAAAACTAGCATCACCAGTTGGTCAGTAACGTATACACTCTATGTCATATTTATCATATGTTTCATGAGAAAATATATATGTATATATATCTTTGGTAATAATAATAATTTATAAAAATAGCATTTTCTCTTATATATATATATATATATATATATATATATATATATATATATATATATTCAATTGTAATTTGGTAGTAACTTAACAGATATTGTTTGTAGTTATATTATATTTAATAACTACTTAAGAGAGTAAATTTTGTAATAATTTCAATTATTATTTTCTATGAATATATATAAAATTTCTTTTTATCAGTATCACTATATGATATTGTTCTTAGTAATAGTAATATTGCGTTATTAATTCATTCTTAAAATTAAAGACATATAATATGATAAATAATAAGCTCATTAATTATATTTTTGTATGAGGTTAAGTTTAGTAATTAAAATTAAATATATCGTTAATGTTTTTTGGTAATAAAAATAAATAATATTCAGTACTCGTGATTTAGACACTTTCTATAGACAGCACTGGAACACAGGATATTTCGTAATCAGTATTATCTGAGTCGATATGCGCGCGCATCTTAGCATTACTAATATACCAATCAAAATTAAATTATTTTCGTTTATATCGTAAATTATGCAGAGAATAATTTTATATACTTCAAAAAAACTTATATTTGATTCTAAAAAGACAGATATTATGATTTGGTAGTTTAAAAATTTATGTTTTAAAAAAATAGTTCTTAAAATGAATGATTACCAAGTCGCTTCATAAGCGCCATCTACAGACCTTCTAATAAATGTAAATAGTAGTAATCAGTGATATTTTCTTTGGGGACAATTGAGAATATTTTTGCAATATTTGTTATTATGTTTTCAAATAGATACTTTACATTTACTAGAAATAAATGTAAATACTTAAAAAATATCTATAAGTTTATTTTTTCAATTTATGAGTCCATACTTATTTAAATCATTTTAAATTTATAATATTGTATTTCAATGTTAAAAAATAATATTTTATAAGAGAATTTTGATTTTATATTACTTTATATATATTACTTAACTATTGTACCTAGCTAATTTTAATTATTTTGCATCACGCACAAAAGTATGTTTTTGAGTGTAATACTTTAGCCAATGTTGTTTCAGTTTAATCAACGATTACAAGTTAAAAACTATGTATGAATAAAGTAATAAATCTAAAAATAGAATATTGATAATAACCATTTTTTAAATACTTATTCATTTTAAGTATGCCCATTGTTTAGTTAAAAAAATTTGAAGAAAAAAGAAAAAAAAAGAAAGGTAGAATTACAATTCTAGACTATTAGTACATTTTTCTTATATAAAAGAGTATATAAGAGAGATAATAATAGAGATAAATTTAATTCTATATTTAAATTCGTCTACATAGATTAAAGGTTTTAATTGTAATACACATTTGAATTAAATATATTCATGTTAATTCTAAATTATGGCCATGAAGGTGGTTCCCCAGGTGCAAGTTCCCTTCCGTATAAAGCAGATTTATCTCTGAATTTAGTTAATCTTAAATTCTCTTGACGGTCTAAGTAACTTCCAAATATAAATCCGGTTAAAGGAATCAATGCCGGGTAATATACACTGACCAGATATTTCAAAGTTACCATGTTGATTAATTTACTTTTTAACTATTCTGTTGCTGCTCAAGTAACTGTTGATTTTTCCACGAACGAGTACGCTTTTGGTCGTAAAATATAGAAGTCACTGTAATTATTGGTAATGATACCATCAAACAATATCTCTTGATATAATACCCGAGTAATTTAACTGGACCCATCAAACTGTAAAAATACAAAATATATGATTACATTATTGAAAATAAATTATTAACCATGACATTGATCAATGATTATACATACAAATAGATAATTTAACAAAATTACATAATACATTATTTTTGCTTAAAATAACAATTATTGTTTAAAATCAATAATTATATAAATATTTTATATATAATAAATTTTCACAAAATATTCTATATATTGTGTATAAAAAAAAAAACAGTATTACAATTGTATAATATATGATCTAACCTCACTAAGGAAATATGAATAAATATATAAAATATTAGAATAAAAAGCAAAACAATATTAATAACGAAAATAGACTACTTAATAATAATTAATATTCTAATTAAATATTATAATATTGATATGTTGGAATTATTTACTTTCCATCAATAGTTGTAAAAATAATTTAACTAGTACTTCGGAAGGAGCGTACTGACGGATCAGTAAAGAACTAAGTGCACAACAGTAGTAAGCAAAGGTTATTTCAGTTGTGTATATATATATATTTTAATATATTTGGAAAAGGCGTTTATAAAAATTAATCCTAAATTTACTCTAAACATTATTATTTATGCAATAAAATGAAACTGTTAATTGTAATGTTAAATGAAATGTGGTACAGTAAAGATCTTTAACGAAGGCGAATTTCTTTCTAACGTTATAAATGTTTACTTTGATATATATATATATAATGTATATTAATCAAAAAATTAATTTCTCTCTTTTTCGGTATTTTTAAATTATAAATTATTGTTATTCTTACATATATAAATCTACTTTGTTTTATAAAAAGAAAAAGATGAAAGTTTACAATTCTACTGACTACTCTCCCATTCGTTGAAAACAATTTTTTAAAGTCATATTGACCAATCCTAAGTAGAAATGTTCATAGATATTTTATAATTTGTATTTTTGTTTTATCCAAGTTATTAACTCGAAATTTGAATGATTTGTTTCTATGTCTGTTAATATTATTATAAATAGTTTATATTAATATTAAAGAGTTATTAAAGTAATTATCAATTCATATATATGGAAGTATACATTTTCGATTGTTATAACCTTAGACGAATGAATAAAAATTATTACTATTATTTACAATTTTTTATTATCTGTATTAAATTATTAAATAAATAACAATGGCGCAGCAAACGTATATTTCTTGCATAAAAATTAATGGTGTTCCTATTCTTCCACCGATGGTAAGTATATTATTATTATAATTACTATTAAATTCATTATCTATTATAAAATTTTAAAATATACATTTTTGTTACCTTTTCAATTTTTAGATAACTGAAGATGTTAGAAAAGAAGTAAAATATTATAAATATTTAGCAATTCAAGTAGAAAAAAGATTAAAAGCTTTGTATGATAGAAAATTTAGCGAAGAAAGTCAATTCGTAGAAAATGATACAAAAGTACAGCAAATTGATCAGAAATTTCATTTTGGTAATGAAAATGTAATTCCTAATGCAGAGCCTAATATCAATGAAGATCAATTACCTATAAAAAACACATATGATGTTACAACAAATGAAAATATAGATATAAATGTTCACGAACAAAGTAGTCATTCAGAATTAGTACAAGAAATATCTTCGAATCAAAATTGTGAAACTAATTCCACAGAAGGGCATTCATTGAGTCCAACATCAACCGTTGTAAGCATCGATTCAATAGAAAGTCATATTGATACAACTAAATCAAAAGTCGAGCACAAAATGTTAGATAATTGGAAACCTGAAGTGCCTAAAACATTAGATATTGTCCCTATTACATTGAATGATTCAAATCCATATCAAAAAGAAGAATTTTCAGTGATAAATGAAACAAATACTATTAAGCAAACACCAAAATTAGTGCGTCAAGATTCTTATATTTTGGACACCCCAAGTCCTATGTTGCTTGCACATATGCAAATAGAATTAAATAATATCAATGATCTTCCTACTGCAGATTATATCCCTACACCTGCAAAAAGTAGTGTGCGACGAAAAGAATGGAATATTGCACATACTAAAACTGATTGGATAAGTGAATTGAAAAATAATGAATTTAATGCCATGGACACTCAGCAGACATTTAAAAATTCAAAATGTAAAAGAAAGAGTTTATCTAGCAAAAGTAATTATAATTTATATAAGACTGAAAGTGAACAAACAATATTAGAACCACAAACTCGTACGTATCAAACTACAGGATCAGTAGATAGTATTCAAATGATGCTTGAGAAAGAAAATATTTACAAGCCTGACATAAAAAATAATAATAAAAAGAAATATAGTATAAGCAATAATGACAAAGAAAATCATAGGCCACAAGAATGGAAGGAAAGTAAAAACATTTCAGTGTTAAATACGACTAACAAACTAGGAGGTTCACTAGGAAATCTACATGATGTTGAAACACAAATACACAAGATTAATGAATCACAAATATTAAGGACATATGGACAAAATGAAAGTTTTGAAGAAGAAAACACAAATAATGATAAGATAAATGAATCAATAGGAAAATCTAAGTCTCCAAATATATCTGAGAAATTATTGACTATCTTAAAAGAAATAGAAGAAGTACATAAAAGACAGATGTCCGAATTAGTCATTCGGCAACAACAAGAGCAATCTTCATTGCAGAAAGAATTTGAAAAGCAACAATTATTTTTATTAGCAGAAATAAAGAAATCCTTTCCTGAAATTTCTTCGTTAATAGATGACAAATATTTGTCATCTACTACAATGGATCAAGCTGAGTCAATAAATAATTCTATTTCTAAAGACATTCCCATAAATAAAACGAAACAAGATAAAGATTTAGAAGAATTGTCTGTCGTTCCAAAAGACGATATATTATTGTCACCAAATAAACGTACGTTAAGTCCTATATGTCCAGTGAATTATATTTATTCCCAAAATGATTTTAACGATACCAAACAACATTTGAAGTGTTATAAATTCATTCAATCATCGCAAAGAGAATCCAATGAAACTTCAACGCAAGAATACAATTGTACATTGATAAAAAATAAAGAAATACAAGAAAATACGAATAAGAATGAAATGCGTGATTATAATATAAGCGTAATAAATGAGAATAAAAAGTCTACAATTAGCCGTCGATTATTTCCATTAGACTGTAAAACCGTACATGTTCCCATTATTGACAGTTCTATGTACGCAGAGAAACACGTAAGATGTAAAAAGAAAGAATGTTCTCTCTCTTTATTTTTTTAAAATTGATATATTTTATCTAATAAAAATATCCTTGAATAATTAAAAAAAGCTATATTACAGATACAAGCTGCATCTATTATCAATGCATATGCACGGGGGTATTTAGTGCGCAGGTTATTTAAAACAGATCGTGTGATTACTTTAAAAAATACATACAAAGAAGCATTGCAATGTATGCTTAAACTACATGTTGATGCACCTCTTGATTTATCAGAACTGCATTTTTTACGTCGTTTACAATTACAGGTAACATTGGTTTTACATTACAGTGATAAGAATCCTTGTGAATGCTTGTTGCTGGTTATAATCGACATATATTTAGATAATTAACTTTTCAAAGTGTAAAATAATATATAGAATTTACTTTTAAGAATTCGTTGAAATATAGTCTCTATATTACAATTAAATAAGGGTACTGATATAGTATTAACAGTACTGAATATTTAAGATTTGCATGTATTTTTTTGGTAGATCCATATATTTATAAAATTCTTATTTTTATAAGTGTGATGCAGCATCCATGAATATAGTGGAATTATTTTCTCAAAGTCCTGCATACAAAATGAAAATTATAGCGCATGATCGTGAAATTAAACGGTGTCGCACTGAACGTCCAACTTCAGCACGATCATACTCATTTGCTACCCAGAGGACCTTAGCAAGGAAAAAGCTCAAAGAGTATGATTTTGTATTATATAGCACTTTCCATATTCTTATTTCCTAGAAAAGCATACGTAGATCTTCTTTAACTATCATTATAGAAAGTTATTTATTCATATCTTTCCAATGTACTTTTATTAGTTGATAATTTAGTTATTTGAGAATATTTTTAAATTAAATGTCATATTATTATCTACTTTGTAAAAGAACTTTTGTTTATATTATTTAAATCATAATGTAGCATGAATTACAAAATAAGTTAGAAGAATTATTGATAGGATATTATATATACATATATATACTCCTATGAGAATATATTATGTTTAAGGATTATTAGATGTTTTATTCTTATTATTTATTAATGCTCTTCTAGGATGAAAGATTACAAATCACCAAATATAACTCAATTACACTCATCTAGAGTTAGATGTCAAACTTGGACTTCTGAAATTTCACAGCATCTTATATCGCCAAATACGCGTAAGTTATTTGTCGTATTATTTCACATGAATTATAAATAATAATTAATAATGATATAAATAAAATAATGTATATGTTATAGATCACACTATTAAAAGAAGTACTAGTGCAGGAACAGTTAGGAAACCATGGAGATGAAATAAGATCATCGTGCCTTTAAATGTTACTTCCAGATATTCTTTGTACAAATCCTAATCTTGTAAATATTATTTTGCCTGGGGTGCCTATATTTTTAATAAATTTATTTCATATGACTTTTCATATATATTCAATATTTTCATTTTTATTATGTATTTATTCAATAAGATAAGACACATAAGTTAAATACTTATGTTATATTTTATATTTTTTATTTTATTTATCCAATACAAAAATATTTTATTATTATAAAAACATTTAATAAATTATAATTATCAAAAAATTTCAAGAGTTAAGTTTATATAAATGCGTTATGCGATTAATAAATGCATTGTGAATATATATGTACATAATTAATTAGATACAATCTACACATAAGTTTATCAAATATATCCACATATTAATTTTTGTTATGCATTATTTGATGTATAACAAATAATTTTAAAAAGGAACAGTGATTCATGCAACAAGTTACAATTCCAGTTGTAAGAAGAGAGCGTAATAAGTATAACACTTTAACTAGTTACAGTTCGTTAAAGGGTCAATCCAAATGACCCAGAGTCTTTACGGTTAAATGAATTTACTCGTTTATGTCAGTCACAAAATAAACGAAGAGCTCGATAACCTTTTCTTGTCAATGCAATAAAAATAATTACAAACAATTATGTGAACACATTTTTTTTATAATATTATCTTTTTATTATTTAAATATTACTATTCTTTATAATTGTATAAAAATAAAATAAGATTCTTTTTCTTTATTAAATGAAATTGATTTAATTTAATCAAATTTTATGCCATATTATTTAATTTTTAAATATCAATATAATAATTTAATGAATATAATACTACATATATTATCCAGAAAATTTGAAAATTAAAATCGATAATCGATATTAGTAACATATCGACTTATAACAGGGCCAGTTTTCATATAGCGGGAAAAATGTAATATTATAAAATACATAATAATGAATATCTATAATTGACAATGGTAGAAAATATTTATAAGAAAAGAGTATATTATTTAAATAAATGATTATTTAGATTTAATAATACGTAAATTACAATAATAATTATAACCAAATAATACGTAAATATAATAATAATTATAATCAAAGAAAAAAAAGTGTGACTAATAGAATAATCAAAATGACAATTAATAAAAAAAAATACATTTATCGCTTTTGTTACCCATCACGAGTATTATCGGTAAGTGTAAACGAGTCTTATGTTATTACGTACTATGTATTTTTGTATATATATATGTATCAAATAGGTAATATATATTATCGTAAAAATAATATTTAGTTAAGAGAAGAGGGGAATGAAGAGAGGAGAAGAGGAATAAAAGAAAATAATAAGTTAAAATAATGGAATTAGTCGATCTATGAGAAAAAGAAGATGGTAAAGAAAATATGTATTTATACTTTATATTAAAATTTATTCATATGGATATGTATATACGTAGAATGGAATAAATAGAGAAAATTTGTTTTTAAAGGAAATTGTTAATACACAAGTAAGACATTTTTTCAAATAAAGATTGATTAAGAATGTGATTGTGAGAAAAAAGCAATTTTACGCGGTTCATACGAACGATAAACTTTTAATGGACAAATGCAGTGCCAAATAGTGATAATATACCTTTTGTATGTGGGATTGGTGCATGCACGTACAGAAGAAGATCAACAGGCAACTAGTACTTCCAATACTAATGGATTTACAGACATTTTTTCGGGACTTTCAGAAAAATGTTTTTATCTACCACCATCCGATTGTCCAGATCCAAAAATTAATTGTCCATGCAAGAAAATAAGTTTACCGCACAACTATGAAGGCGATGCTGTATTTTGTTGTAATATAGATAATCGAGATTCCTTAGATAATAGTCTTTCTTGCGTTGGTGAGCATAATTTATGGTTTTTGTTAACTTTTAATTTTGTAAATATATATTTAAGACAATCTATGTTTTAAGATTTCTAAAATATATATAGTTTTCCGTGTACAATGAATCAATTAGTTATAAGAATTGATTGCCACCAGGATTTCCATCAAATGTATCTTATGTTCATATTCGTAATGCTACCTTGGATACAATTGATGTTAGTGAAACACGATGGAGAAGATTAAAATCACTTGCCATAACCGATGGAAGAATTAATCGTGTCAAGAACCAATTCCTTGTAGTGACACCAATATCATGTTTGAATCTTTCTAACAATGGTCTTATCGAAGTTGACAATAATTCATTAAATAGATTAGGACAGCTTACTACTTTGGATTTATCATGTAATAATTTAACTCATCTACCAGGATTGAATATAATAAATGGTAGAGAATTTTGGCTTGACATTTCTGGTAAATGCGCATTTTATTATCATCTATCATCTACTTTTTATATTATTATATTAATGCTGCATATGTTTAATTAATTACAAAATAGAAAATATAATTTGGCTGTTTATAGGAACAAATACTCTCTGGTGTCATGACATTTTTCCATATGTCAATAAAAAAGACCAAGCAATTAATTTTAATAGAGAAAATGAAACAATGTGTTCTGCAAGTAAAACATGGCATTGGTTTAATACTACAGAACAAGTACCACTGCAACAAGTGCGTTATTTTAGTTTGGTATGTATTATTCTAATCATGAATTTTTGAATTAATCATTACATTTCATTATTTATGAATTATTATAAAAAAAAATATATATATATAATATCTATATATAATATAGGTCATAAAAATTATTTGATATTTAGTTACAGACAGATTGTCCGAAAGGTACAACCTGGAAATGTCAGTGCCAATTTTCGAGATTTGTTATAGTTGCAGGAAAGCCACCTACATTAGCAGTACATGTGGATTGCGCTAATATGCAATTAACAGAATTACCAAAAAAATTACCACGAAACACTATAGCATTAAATGTTTCTTACAATTATGTATGTATTTAATATTTTTCCATAATTATTACTAAATTAAAAATTGATACTTCTTATTTTATTCTTTTTCATAGATCACAGTATTAGATGATGTGAGCACCAATCCATGTTATGAAGACCTACGTGAATTTTATGCTGACTATAATAACATATCATCTATCAATAAATTAGAAGGCTCCAAATTTTTAGACAATTATGCTTTCCTTAGTTTAAGATACAATAAAATTAAATCGGTAATAATTTCTTAATTATATTTATAATGAATGTAAATTCTGCACTATCTGTAACTATGTAATATTTTATTTTTTCAGCTTCCAACTTATATTTTAAGTCTGAATTTATATGATAAAAGTTTTAGTTCTCGGTTGGTTAAGCTCGGTGGAAATAAATTACATTGTGATTGTAATACCGCTAAATATTTAAAGGTAAGCAAGAGATTATAAGAAAAAATATTAATCTTAATATATTTTACTATTAATTTGATATTTTTGAATATAATCTAGGCGTGGTTGCAAACGCGTATATTAGACTCCGATGAAGTTCTATGTGAAAATGTAAAAGAGAAAGTGACTGACTTAGAGCCATCAAAAATGTGTGTCTATCCTGGAGATTGGACTGATTATATTTATTACATAATTGCTACTGAAGTAATATTATTGATAAGTCTAATAGCAAAAGTGTCTTATGATTATTGGGTATTTAAAACTGCTGGTTACCTACCATGGCCAGCCAATAAGATGCCAAAGTTGCCTTGTGATTGGTTATGTGAAACATAACAGAATATCATATTTATAGTGATAAATATGTGCTATTTTTTTATTTCAGAATATTTCAAAGTTTATTTTTTATATTGATTATAAAAATGTATATATAATCAATATCAAATATTACTTCCATGACATATTATAATAAAATACTATTAACATTATCTTTGATCGATTTGCATAGTTAGTGCGTATCTTTTGCAGCTTTTTCAGTGTTCACAATTTTTTTCTTTCCTTCTACTTTCTTAATATTCATAACTTTTTTCTTGCTTCCCTTTTTTTTAATATTTACAACTATTTTTTTCTTTTCAGTTTTATTATTATTTGTAAACATTTTCATTTCATTTCGTTTATGTTTCGGTCCTGTCAATATAGTTTCTCTTTTAGGAGCTGTTCGTTCAAGTTTTCGCCTTTCTTTTTTGCTATGTTTTTTCATAGTCAGCATATATTCTGGAACGTCACAACCTGATGCACGCATAGTTGCTGCAATACTAATTGAATAAAGAAAGAAGTAATAATTTATTATTGTAAAGTTCCAAATCTCAAAACATTATTATTATATTAGGTTCTTTTAACTAACCTTCTTAAATTTGTTGTATCCTGTTTAGTAAAAAACGTAATTGCTTTTCCTTTATGACCTGCTCGACCAGTTCTACCTATATATATTATATATATTAGTATATATTAATAGTTGTGCATTAGTACACATTTAATCGTTGTTTATTTACTAAGCAATTTTTACAATTACAATACGTACCTATTCTATGAATATACGAAATCACAGTTGGCGGAAAATCGTAATTAATAACAAGATTTACACCTTTGAAGTCAATACCTCTACCCATTATTTCTGTACATATTAACACCCATATTTTCCCTTCTCTGAAGCAACGTACTACATTATCTCGCTAAAATAAATATATTTTTATATACAATATAAAAAAATAATTTTTCTGTTTTATTTTAAAAATACGTTTTTTATAATATCACCTGGGCTTGAGTTCGGTCGGCATGAATAACATCAACATTTATGCCATCATAAATAAGTTCACTAAAAAGTTCTTGAGCTCTTTCTTTGCTCTGTACAAATACCAATACTGGTGGGGCAATACCCTATTAATTTACAAGAAATTATTGAAATAAGTATTGTTCTTAACATATGAATAAGTAATATTTTTCATACCTTTTGTATAATATTTCTAATTGCTAAAAGTTTTCCTCTTTCACTACCAACAAATAATAGCTCTTGTTCTACAAGATCTACAGCAGAATTTCTAAACAGAAAGACGAAGATAAAAATTACAAATAATTGATAAAAAAAGAAATCAATTATCAAAGAAATATATACCTTGGACCAACAGTAACAGTAACGAGACCTTTAAGGTTCTTGCGACACCACTTTGTTACTGTAGGTGTAGTTGTTGCGCTAAACATTGCACGATGTAAGTTAGAATTTGTACATGCTGTAGAAATTTCTTCTAATTGATCTCTGAAGCCTCGCATTCCATCTTCAAAAAGTTTATCGGCTTCGTCTACTATTAACCACTGTACACTAAAAGTATTATTTTTATTAATTATTCCCTATATACAAGATAGAGTATATATTATTTTTGTGTATCTTACTTAGCTAAAGATATGGCAGGTGGTTCCTGTTGTAATAAAAATATTAATCTTTTCGGTGTAGTAATTAATATATCTGCAAAGTTAAAAATATATATAAATATATGCAAATACAATAAAAAAGTAAGAAAGCAAAAAAAATATAATAAATTACTAAAGTAATGAAATAAGTTTAAGGCATACCAAACTTTTGTGAACTTGTAGGACCATATTTAGAAAGTGCCTGATTAATTTTACTGATAATATGTACTCTAAAGCCATAATTTTCACTAAGTCTTAAACATTCTCTGTATGTTTGTTTAGCTAATTCTCTAGTAGGACTTAGAATTATAGCTCGAAAGCCATTTTTTTGTGGACCATTTAAATGATGTATGATTGGTAATAAAAAAGCTGCAGTTTTTCCTGATCCTGTTGGAGCACAAGCTAATAATTGTCTGTTCTGATTGCAAGAGAAGAACAAATATTATTTATTACTATACATATTTTGTTAAAGATTTTTTAATTATTTCATAATATTAAAATATAGCAAAATACATACTTGTAATAAAACAGGTATTGCCTGCATTTGAATAGGTGTTGGTTCATCGTATCCACATTGTTTCATATTGTCTAACAATTTTTGAGATACATGATATTCTGTTAATAATTCATCAAATGTACCTATAGCTTTAGGTACACGGGAACCTGTTACCGATATATGATGCTGATTACGAAATTGATTTATCTAAAAATAAAAATAAGTTATCTTATAGTTCATATTGATATGCATTCAAATACAAGCAAAGAACTACAGACAAAAAATGGAATATAGTTATATATAGACCATTTCTTTTACTCTAAATTTTATACCTGTTCACGTTCCAAATTAAGTTTTTTAACTTCTGTCATAGAGCTTTTATTTCTTTTAGCTTTTATTTTACTTCCATCTACAGGAACGGATATTCCTTCAATTAATGTTAAAGTGTCGATCTGCTTTTCTTCTTCATCTTCATTATATTTTCTTTTAAGAGATGTTTTGGTACAAGTATCAACAGGTTCAGATGTTTTTGTTTCGATGGTTTTAGGTATATTTTCAGTTTTTTTATTAATTAACTGTTGGAAATAAATACACATGTTATTAATTCTTAAAAAAGTAATTCCATTTCTTTTAACCTTATATGATTTTTTAAAATACTATTTATTAAAGTATTATTACCTTAAATTTTTCAGCATCCGATTGAAAGCGTCGTACATTGAATTTTGATCCAACAGCAAGTTTTTTAAAAATATCATATGCATCCATTTTTTTTATAAATTATTATTAAAAATATCACGTGGAACATTAAACAACCTAACTGCTACTAAGATCAAAATAATTCATAACCTTAAGTTAGAGGACATTAAATGACGGAAGGCGCCCTCTATCTCTTTGTAGAAAAGTATCGATAAAACAGGTTGAGCAGTGCGCGTAATGTAATTCGCTGGATTTGTTTCGATAGATTGTCTCGTAATTACACAGCTTTGAATATATGTGTATATGAGTTAATTGTAACCATTAAATTTGTGTACCAATTCTACTCTACTATGTATAAAGACAGAAGCACACATACTTCCACAAATCAGTCGGTAAGATAGGATATTTTATTATTATGACAGCGTTCCTAACATGTTTTATTGTTTGGTTTTAATTAATCTCTTCATCGTGCTTATAATAATACTTACACAATATACTATAAATAATAGCAGAATTATAGACTTATAAGTAGACTTACGTTTCTTATTACATATATTATCTATTTTGACATTTAACTATCAAAATCTTCGTATAAATTGGCGGTAGTTTCAAATTTTGAAATTACCGATAAAACGGTGTATAAATAAAAAAGAGAGAGAAAAATTAAATATTTGACGAGGTGCGGAAGAAGGAGAAGGAAGTGATTTAACGAGGAGGGTTCAGTGACATACATTACATCATCCCGCGTCGGGAAGTTTCGTCGATAAATCTCTTGTATTCGTGTATCGTCGGTGGAACATCGTACTCCCATGTATAGTAGTGTATTTACTAGTATATATCACAATCATATTAAACTATCGAAAGTACGATAAAAATGAAGGATATCGAGAAATTTGAATCGACTATTTTACATCGGTTATAGGCGTGGCTTAGTGGATAGAAATAGTTCATTATTATTGCGCGTGTCATAATTCTCTCTCTCTCTCTCTTTCTCCCTATTTTTCTCTCACTCCCGAAATAAGGAAAGAGAGAAAAAGAGAATAGATAGAAAGAGATAGAGAAACTTGAGATCACATAGAGAGAGAAGATTCCGTGCGCATACGTTACGCGCAGCGCACCTGCATCGGTCCAATCCAGTAGGAAGAAAAATTTCAAGCCTGTCATCAATCACTCTCGTCGTAGGACAGATAGACGACGAAAGTTCATTCGCTTGGCATCCATCCGATAGTAAGACGTTCGACGATCTCTTTGACTATTTTTCTTTTTTCTCTCACTCTTTTTTCTCTTTTTCTTTCTCTCTCTCTCTTTCTCTGTCTGTCTGTCTTTCTCTCTCTCTTTCTCTCCTTCTACCCTTCTTTGCGAACGGCAGAAAAAAGGACGATGCCCGCGAACAAGAGCAATCAGCTGTCGACGCCTCGCAAAGAAAAATCAAACAACGGATTAGCTGCAGGCAATTCGAAGAAGAAGAAACGCTCCTGCGTTAAGCATAAAAAACATTGCAAACAATATCTGGTGAGTGTGCGAAAGTCAAACTCGTTAATCTTTTGAACGATTGTATACATATATACATACATATATTATATACAATATAAATATATATGTATCTATTATGTGTATATATATATACACGATGATTGAGCCGAAGTTTCGAAACATTCAGTGTCCATCGTACGAAATTTCAACGCATGGAGGATCGTATTCTAAGATTGGAAGTAGCATGGACTAGCACCACAAAAAGCGCATCGAAAAAATGTAGTGACACTTTTCGGTTCCACTGTTGACCTTTTCCTTATTCACTGATCCTTTCTCATTATTCTTTTTTTTCCCCCTTTTTTCTCGTAATGATTGCACCTGCTACCGTTCTTTTTTTCAATATCGTCCATTAAACTCCTTTCTCTCTGTCTTTCTTTATCTAACTCGTATGTATGTACATACACACTACATCGTCGTATGATAATGGTATAAACCTTTAGCGATCGACACCGCAGGCTGATTGTAAGAGTGCCAGACTAGAATGCGCACGAGGCATGCGCGAAGCACTGATTATAATTTTATCACCAAATATAACAGGATACAGTGTGTGTCGTGTAATATATGTTTGATTTTTATGCGTAGTACTTGATATATGCATCTGTCATTTTATTTACAAATTTATTAATCTTTCGGTACAAGTTCGAAGTAGAAGAAAAATCTGAAAATAATAGGTTTGTCGTTTAACGTTGCAAAATTGCGCGCGATAGTGATTTTATCAAGGAAACCATTTAGTATTACTGACCGTATATTACATTAATTAATGGCTTTTAACGTGCTCAGAATAATTATCGTGATAAAATGCTTTCTGGAAAATTGATTTATTATATATATTGGCCTATATGTGTTGTATATCTCTTTCTTTTTCTCTTTTTTTTTAACTAATGATTATTACAAAATACGAAATATGGTAAAATATGGCGCGCAAATTAAATAACTACGCTAGTAAACTTCACACCGTTTAACGATGTAGTAAATTCTTATAAATTAAATTAATATTTGGACTTTTAAAAAAAATCCATTTAAATATTTAAGTTGACAATTGATATACATTTTTTCAAATTCCCATCTCCTTTAGACCGTGAAATTTTATTTGTCAGATATAAGTCAATTTTTATGCTTGTAATAATTATTAGAAAAAAATGAAAAAAATCTTCTGTATACGACATGACAACATAAACAACATTTGATAAACAGACAATTGCAATGTTTTATTTTTTAAAAGGACCTATAAATAACCCGTTCCTTGAATCTTTGTAGTAATGTCCTTGCTAGAATTATCTTTTTAAAAATATTTTTACTTTTTAGGTTAGCACGATTTTTCCTTTTAGAGACAAGTATTTTAATGTTATGTTATATATATACGTATATATTTTATACGTATGTTAGATTTTTGCACTTGTCTCTTTAATGCACCTACATGCGTTGTGGCGATACTTGTACTATTTTATTGACCTCAAAAAAAAAAAAGTAAGTAAATATGAGATTGATAAAAGATATATTAGATATATTAACGTTTATAGAATATATATAATATCTGTATTGACAGTAATATTATATATATAAATATATATATATTTTGAATATTCTATGCAATTCTAGCTCTAGTGATTTTAATTTCGTTTCAATTGCAATTTTTAAACCTTAGATGTAAGTAATAGTATATTGATTTTTAAGAAAATAGAAAAAAGAAAAGAAAAATAGATTTTGCCAATTCAATAGATCAAAGGACGTCGTTGATTTCCCTTTCCTTTATGCTTCGCTTAGGTACATGTTTATATTATTGTGTGTTTCTGTGTATGTACACGTGGTGACTAAGGGTGTGTAGAATAACGATAGATGATTCCACTTCGACAGTATCTACTTGAACTACTTTGCTATTGTGTCTTGTGTAGGTAAAGAAATTAAAGAAGATCTGCTAGTTTTGTTACGTAAGAAGGTTTATCAAAGGTTTTGCTATTCTAATTATTAAACGAGTTAATTCGTAGCTGTAATCATGTTATAAGTTATAAATTGGATTAAATGGAGGATTAAAAATATGTAACGAGAATTTTTATGCAAGAGATTGAAACAAGATTTTATTACAAATTGCTTGTGTTAAATTCGTCGGTGATTATGGTGGGTAATCTAATTGTAAGTAAAACGTTAACAAAAAATTAGCTTATCGCGTAATTTGTATAATTAAGTCATTTCTATAAGCATAATGGCATAAATTAATATTATTAACATTTTTTGCTCAGATCACATTTTCATAATTAATAACTCTAATAAAAATTTAATATTTTATAATGATATATATATATTGGCGCGTGTATATACATCTTAAACAAATAAAAGATAGTTTACACACTTACGTGTAAATATACTGTAAAAGAAAAAAAGAAATGAAGAGAGTTTCAGCAGTCTAGGACCTAGGCCGTAATCTATGTAGGGGGTTACAATCCTTATTGATTTATTCGTAGTAGACGTTCTATGCAAGAGAAATTTCGCTGTGAGCGAATTTATTCTAGAGTTTTAGTCTCGCCTTATACCCTCGAGTAGCTTAGTAGAAAGAGATCGATGAGAATGTGGAATTCATTCACATACACACACACACACACACATATATATATATATATATATATATATATATATATACACATATTGTATATATAGGATAGAGAATTGTTGTCATTCTGAAACTTGGAATAATTCCTTGCTGAACGATCGATTCGCATTATTCTATTTTAAGATCGCATGTTGTAAAGCATGTTTGTTTAAATCCAGGCCCAGGACTCGATCCAAGCCCAGGTAAGGGATAATTTCGTATGGTCATCATACGAAAGTATCATATGTTCATTTATAATTAAAAAATGATAAAAGGTTTCGCACTTGTGTGTATTTGTAACACGTGTCTTTTATTTTTGAAAACGAAAGATAAGATATAAGAAACGATCGTTTTATTATAATAAAATCTATTTAAAAAAAATATATTTCTTGGTAAATAAAAAGAAAAAAATGCAAAAAATAAATAAACCAATTTTTGCTTATTTGCTTTTTTTTAGTTTCACGTATGTATAATTCTCTTTCATAAAAAATAACAGAAAACAAGGTCTGATTTAATTACACGCGCACATCGTTGATAGGAAATGTGTCTACTATAAATTAGGTCATAGTTACACCTATATACGTACACCACACAAACGTATTCCTTCCGAGTAGCTGGTGGCCATCGAATATCACTCGATGGCCCACGACCCCGCGTCAGCTAAAGATGGCATCAGGTTACCGTTGCCGATCGTACTTACATTGTTCACCGAAGTATTTTCGATCCAATACAATGGCATTTATACGTACAAAGAGAGACAGAGAAAAGAGAGAGAGGGATAGAGAGGCAGACACAGTGCTTCGTTAAGCGAATATCGTCTTTTCAAATAGGGAGTTAAATCACATTGTGTTTCTCACGGATACAAACGCCAACGCTTCAAGTTTCCCATCGAGCTTTAATACTAATACTTCCTTCTTCATATTGCCAATCACAAACTGAACGAAGAATTAGCGAAATAATTTAACGTGG